CCAATAAATTCATCATGAAAATGTTCTATAAATTCTCCATGCTACAAGTTCAACCACAAGCAATTTATTTATAATAATGATAAGAGAATATAGAATTGGATACGAAAATTTGTTTTTACGTGTAGAAGATAATTTAATTGGAAAATGCTGCTTAACTGCTCAGACACTCGTGCGATGCCGGTACGGTACCGTCTGACCGTACCGGTACCCATGCAATCACTCGTGAAAGAATGGGAGATACGGATAGTCTCGTAGAATATAGTCTACTGAAACACTCTCTGCGCCTGCCCCATACCGTACAGCCGTAACGTACCGATCCAGACAAATGATAAATCGCCCGTGCTCAACCATTTATTTCAATCCATACCTCGACTCGCTATATTCTACTAGGATCGAGGTATGGATTGAAATAAATGGTTGAGCACGGGCGATTTATCATTTGTCTGGATCGGTACGTTACGACTGCACGGTATGGGGCAGGCGCAGAGAGTGTTTCAGTAGTCTATATTCTACGAGACTATCCGTATCTCCCATTCTTTCATGAGTGATTGTATGGCTACCGGTACGGTCAGACGCAAAGCGACTATAACCGACTACCGGTATTTGGTAAGACGGTACCGGCATCGCGAGTGTCCAGACAACTGAGTAGTTAAGCAGCATTCTCCAATTAAATTACCTTATACACGTATAAACAAATTTTCCGAATTTTCGTATTCAATTCTATATTCTCTTATCATTATTATAAATATATTACTTCTTGTTGAACTTGTAGCATGGAGAATTTATAGAACATTTTCATATTGAATATTGCTCAAGAAAATCAGTAGTGAGTTTGAAACCCAGGGAACACATTTGTGCGCGTAGGATTATGCCTGACAACGTTGGTCCCAAGCAGAAGCAAATTTTCTAAAAAAAAAACGCGTGACAACGATGGGCCACGAGGCGGACCATCGTTGTCAACCTTTTTATTTTCTTTTTATTCAATTTTTTTTTTTTTTAATTTTTTTTTTCGTTTTATTTATTCATTTTTTTTTTAATTTTCATTTTTTTTTAAATTATTTTCATGTTTTTTTACAACAATTTTTTTTATTTTCGGTTTTTTATTTTCAATTTTACGCGTGACAACGATGGGCCACCATAGTCGTGTGAATTGTCAAGCATATTGCAACTTATTTAATGAAGTATAACTTATGATCGTTCCGACGAGGGACTACATACTGAAGAATTCCACGATAACAAGTCAAAACAATCAATTTTTTTTTCATTCATTCTGTAAAAATATTACTTATTCGTATGTTACGGACATTTTATCTTAATTCGATATTGCCATTCGCATTCAACTTTTTTATAGAAAAAATTGTTACATTTCGTCGCCGTATTTAAGCCATTTGAAATGTCAAGCACATTGCAACAATTTCGATGGAGGCTAATTTCTGGTCACTTCGGCCAGAAAAATATTCTAACGCGTTGAGAGGCCACGATTACATGAAGAACGGTTGATTTGTTTCCTTGACAAGTCTGTAAAATTATTACTCATGTTGTGGATATTTCGATACTACAATCGCATTTGCCTTTTCAATAGCTCAATTTGTTACACGCTAGAAACTCAGGAAAGAAAAAAAAGTCTCAATCAAAAAAAATGACTCAATCTAATCCCTCATTTAGAAAGGTGAGAAATATCGGCAGTTTATCCAAGATTGTGATTATCAGATAACCTCAGGATGGGATTCTATCTGGATTCTTGAAGGAAACGCGATTATGAAAGCCATTTTCGCGTCAATGAGTCTAGCGCCATGAAAGATAAACTTAGAGCCTTCACATTCTCAAAGAGTTTGCCGCTATGAAAGTCAAAAGCTGTTTCATGCTTGATTCAGTGGGTTATCATGGGTATCGATATTTACTTTGCGACAGACTGTATTTTGTATGTTAGCTTAGATGTAACTGCAACTTCCTCAGTGGCTTTTGTTATCTTTTATTCTAGAAAGATATTGTTGATAAAAACCTTTTTATCCAGTATAAATAATATGTACCTATTTCTTTTTATTTGATGCCCAGAGATGCAATAACTCAATCAGATACTAATGAATGAAATGGAGAAATTGAAACAAAGTAATTTGCACGAATGCGGTATTTGTGATAAAAGTTTTAGTTGGATTAGTCATCTCAGAAACCATCAAACGACACACACTGGAGAACGACCATACAAGTGTGAAATTTGTGGCAAGACATATACTCAGAAAAGTCACTTAAAGAGCCATTTGCGATTGCACTTTCCCGATGATCACGAAATCTACAGAAATGCGAAGTTTGCCCGAAAATACTTGGCGATGTTCAAAGTAAGACTATTCACATGCGACAACATACAGGAGAAAGACCATACAAATGAGATGAATGTGGAAAAGGATTTTGTGACAGTGGTTCTTTGAAAAAACATATGAATCAACATTCAAAGAAATTTGCGTGTGAAATCTGTGAACGGCCATTCATCGACAAGTCACACCTTTTGAAACATGTTCTCACTCATACAATGGAGAAAAAATTTGCGTGCACTATTTGCGATAAGTTATTTGCACGCAAAGATAGTTTAAATATACATATGAGAAAGCATACAAATGAATATCAATTCAAATGTGAGATATGTGGCGTCACCAAGGTGCAACACTGCGAACTGAACATTCACATGCGTACGCATACAGACAAAAAACCGTTTGTGTGCAAATTGTGTGGAAAGAAATTTAGTCGACAAGGCAGTCTAAATACTCATTTGCAAACACATTCCAACGAAAAGTCGTATGCATGTGAGATATGCGGAAAGAGATTTGCCGTACAAAAATATGTCAAGAAACACGTGAAACGGAGTCATTTCAAATCAGAAAGTGTCTCAATTACAGACAAACTTGAGTAGGAACACACTGATCACGTATATTCAGAAACCAGCGTTATTTCCAACGAGTTCGATCAGAACGAAAAGATATCACCGAATAAATCTTGAAGACTCAGGTATTTGAAATCAAAACGAATTGTACACAGGATCAGATCGTGAATACCTTTATAACACGCTCAGACTGTTATGGACGTGCTCTTACTGTTGAATACTATATGCCACATTTCCGGCGGTCGAAAGTGTTTTCTGCGCTGTCGTTGACATGTGGGTTCACTCCGGGACAGTAGTTCTTGCTACCCAACTGAGGTAAATGTATGGGAGAGAATTTATAGTTTCCTCTTGGTTAGTGTGGCCTTCCACCATCATTCCTACTTTTGGAATGTTGTACTGCAAAATATTACGGATTTCAACTTGAAACGTGCAAATCTTGACTTGTAAAAGTAACTAATATTGAAACAATTATTAAATTTTGGGTTTACGAATATGCGTACGCATACAGGCGAAAAACCGTTTGTGAACAAATTGTGTTTAATCGAATAACTTTATGACACGCTCAGACTGTTATGGACGTGCTCTTACTGTTGAATACTATGTGCCACATTTCCGGCGGTCGTAAGTATTTTCTGCGCTGTCGTTGACATGGGGGTTCACTCTGGGACAGTAATTCTTGCTACACAACTGAGGTAAATGTGTTGAAGTAAAAGTAACTAATATTGAAACAATTATTAAATTTTGGGTTTACGAATATGCGTACGCATACAGGCGAAAAACAGTTTGTGGCACAGAAGTCATATTGGGGGTGTCAAAATAGGGCTGACGAAATGCGGTCGTTGGGTGGCGAAATAGGGCCGTCGAGTCAAGTTAGGGCTGGCGAAATACGGTCGGTGCGTGTCAGATTGGGGGTGGCGAAATACGGTCGGTGCGTGTCAGATTGGGGGTGACGAAATACGGTCGTTGCGTGGTGTCAGGTTAGGGGTGGCGAAATACGGTCGCTAATTTAAACCTAATTTAACACAATTATCTTCTTACTTTTTAGATAGATAATACAGCAATAATATCGGTACGCAATCTGTGACAGCGAGCTGGATGAAATCAAGTATCACTAAAATTTGAAAATCAAATCCGCTAAGTACCGGTACCGGTATTTATGAGTAACGGTTTATATGTTACGGTATGTTTATTGTAGCAATTGAACGTCTGTTAATTAGTACGGTATCAACCTAAATAAAGATGTGACGGGTATACCTCATAAATGTACCGGTAGTGATGCAGGAAATATACCGGTACCGGTAGAATTGAAAAATTTAGGTTTTGCGGATGATGTGATGACACTGATTGTGAGAACGATTCGCGTTTGGCAGTCGTTGGGTGCGGTCTCATTTTTGAGCCCTGCAGAAAGACTAAATTGATAACAATGAAGCAGCACTGAAGGAATATCAACAAGTAGCCTAAAGACCGAAAAAAGAAATGACATGGCAGCATAAAGGCAACATAATTATGGAGATATAACAAAATCGAAAGATGAATACATCAGGGATAGATTCAGATATTTTATTTTGTGAAGAAGAGTACGGTATGATATTGAATTGCGGACTGTCAGAAGATACCGGTACTGCTATTTCTAGAAATTCCGCTTGAATGCTAAATGGGTACCGGTACCGGTACCTATCCAACTATATATTTGTAAATAGTTTGTAGTGTGACTTACTATGACCATATCAATGCGCATCGTTTTTAAGATAAGATAGATAAGTTTATCTCGACTCCATAATCAGCAAAAACATTCATTTAATGGCATATTTTTGTTTTGTTCTCTCTGTGTGTATACCGGTACTTTTATAACGACGTTGGTCATGTCATTATATCAATTAGGCTACAGACCTGTTCACGTGTGATTAGTGTTTTTCCTGATAACTGTTTTTATGAGTGTCCACACACCAAATTTACCGTCATGTTTTTTTTGCGTTCGTTTGTATATTAAACCAATTATCACCTTTTCCGCAATGCCCAATCTAGCAATCAGTGTAGTTTTTCATGGCTTGGTATTTCCCAAAGCTTTCATGGCTTCACGATTATGACTATCGTCGCCAATTTATTACATTCCACTCCCCACATTATCTTTAAATGAGATTGTATTGGTCATTATCAACGTAAGTGTTAAAAGTACAACAGCCCGAAAGTTCAATACTATCGTGTATTTTGTTTGTTATGTTTGGCCCAAGCCTCATTTGACTGAACTAATGGAACTTGGATGAATCTGAATCCGGACCCTTCATTTCGAGACATTACGGTTTTGAAACAGAGACTATAGACATACTAAATGTAATTTTCGCTAAAACTAACACTGGAAATTGGAACTAAAATAATTGTCTGGAAAGAGTTAACGTTAAGAAAATAGCAACTGATCTTCAAACAATACCTCTCACATTAGAAGGAAAGTGTTTATTAATAAAACTAAAGTTATTATTTTAATTTTTATTTTTGTGCAAAATATTTCCAATAACAAAAAATGTAGCCAAAAAAGCAGATGAACTTGTTGAAATATTTGGGTTCAATGGGAAAAGGGAACTCAAAATAGAAACCATTTGTAAACCGAAATGTTTTGGAAGGTACGATATAATCAATATTCCAATTTTTACAATGTCAATGTATATAATGTGTGTTTTTGAATATATAGAAACAAAAGAAAAGAATGTAATATTTTGTGACAGAACTATCACATTCAATTACTTGGAATATATTATAGGGCTGTGTTTATTGGACATGTAGTGGACATAACGATCGTTTTGTTCTTTGACACGTTTTGAAGAAATCGCTTTTCCCTTTGATTACTTTGAATAAAATTATGCGGTGCTACGTGTCCATATATTTGAGCATAGCTCTCTTGTTTAGGTCTACCATTGAATAATAGTGTATTGCATAGATTTAGTCCACATGAGTATTATAAAAGTGTGATTGATTTTATAAAAAGTAATATTTTGAATAATATGTATGATGTCAAGATGGGCAAACATAGGCATATATAATGAATTTATAAAAAAGCGGACTGGGGAAAGACTAGTAATTATCAGTAACTCAAATCTTAGTGTAACATGCTACAACATTGATAATAAAATTTTGGCAAAGTATATTAAGACTTCCAACTATAATTTGCCTTGGGATATCTTGCCATTAGAAACAAAGCCATGGATTGAAAGAATAGCAGGGGATGGAATGTGTTTAATATGCAATACAGAACCTCAGTTTGTTTCACATGTTTTCATGTGAATTCACACAAAAACTTCACTATGATTTCATTTGTTTAATTGTATTATAGTCATATGACTCATATAGTATCAATTTATGCAAAGCATTATTTTGAAAGGAAATGTTAAATTTATAATATTTGCATTTGCTAATTTTGTTTCTTTTATTGTTTTATATCATTGAAATTATTAAAATAACTTAATTATGGTATCGTTGAATATTACTATTGAAACAAACTGGAAATTTATGGAACTCCAAAATTACCAAATGGATTATGGATGGAATATGGACTTATATTTACTTTATACATTATTTTTTTATATTCAAATAAAATCACTCATTGAGTGAATTAATTATAAAAAAGGAAATCACTGAATTAAAGCGGTTGTTAGGAGTATGAAGGACTTTTTCTACCCAAATCAGTGTTAAACAACACTCAACAAATTGCTGAACAATTGGAAGGAAGGCATTTCCAAGCAGAAACTGATACCGAACTGATGCCATGGTCCCGTAGCAGTGTAGTCTGAGGAATGAAGTGAATTACGATATTTAATGGAAGACTTGAATGTCATTTATGCTTGTGGTTGTGGAGGCACAGTATGCTGCGAATAGTGCTCTTGAACATGACGTGCAAGTGGTACAAGCCAGCCAGAACTTCATGAATGCCAAGTTTCAAATCCAAATCAATCTTAAGTTTTGGCATAATTGGTACAAATGTAGTCCATGCTTGGATAGTTTCATTTTGTTTGCAATACTTGCAATTCCATAACCCACCCTCCATGTTCTTATCAATAGGCGATACCCTCTTCTTGTCTAGGGCAGGGGTGACGCTGGTGGGCCATGTTAGCGCGACTTAAAAAAGGTAAACAATAAGCTTTGTGTCATGACTGCATTTAAACACAATCTCAACAAATTGCTTGAGGTAGTTTTAGCGCAGACGTTAAAATTTTGTTTTTGTTCGGTTGTGGCAATTTAGATATCGGTAGATGTTTAGCTGCTAGTTTAGTCCATTAGCTGCTATAATCTTGATCAACGGTTGGCAAACTGCGGCTTGCAAGATCTTTTATGCTGTTCGTTTTGCTAACATTAAATGTTATCCAAATTTAAGCAAAAGGAACTCTTGCGAGCAGCGGTTTGCCCACCATAGATCTAGTTGTAGGATGTGAAAAACTCTGGGTTGAAATTGCTATAGTGTCTGCTAAACCTACTTCTATAACTATTATTAATGTGTTTTATGCCATATAAACTCTATTGAGGTTAGGTATTATTGAATAATTTCAAAATTGAGTTACACAAACTATCTCATGATGAGCGTTTTATGTGTTGATATAAATATAAACCTGGTTGGTTGCAAATATTACCTTTGCAAAACAATGGGTCTACTTGAATATGCTCTGGTTTCATGCTCAATTCCATTGATTATTAATTATCCTACCAGGTTAAATGGTAATTCTGCTTGTGGTAACTTGACTTGATTATATGATATGTATGCCAATATATTTGATAAGATGATAAAGCCAATTGCCAATTGGGCTAGTTGACTAATCAATTTCTTATATTTTGCCAGAATGAATTGGATCATATCAAGCCTGCCCCAAACATAAAGCGAGAGAATCGAATCCCTAGAATTTCAAAGATGAAGCTTACACTGTATTTAACAATGGAATCTAGCCTCAACAAGTAAGAGTTCATAATTTAACACATTATTTAATACATTTGTCAATAAAATTGTATATTCGTTTGATAAACATGCCCCACTGAAATAAGAAAGAAAGAACGTTCTTGGTTGATGCAAAAATTCTGATATATTACATTCTATCAAAATTAGAGATAAATGTGTGAATCATGGGGTTTTTCATGGCGCTGATGTTGGGAAGCGGCAGAAAAAAAAACTATTTTAATACTCTTTCTTATATTAAAAACAAGCCAAAGATTATTACTATGCTTAATATTTAGGCGGACGTACGAATGACTCAAATATACCTGATACTATCTTATTAATCAGGAATGTAAGAAATATCATCCAAACTCTTTATATGGTAAGACGACCCAATATTAGTTTGTGTATCTAAACTACTATTCATTTGCCAATATTCCAATTTTTTGTCTGCTATACTCTTCGCTGCTCCATATGATTACATGATTACATTCACATAATTATAAGTATTAGTTGGTTTTTCCAAAATTGCTCACTATGACTGACTGACTTCTCACTGCTCCAATTAGTGGTTTATGTAGATAAACAATTTGTGGACCTGCTGAAGTATGCGCACCAAGATGGCGCTCAACTCAGGTTGTGTACCAGTTTAGGTTGTGCGACATCTTGGTGCGCATACATTAGGAGTACCCAATTTGTTCATTAAGCGAAATTGATTCTCTTAAAATTAATTTTTACTCGCAAATCAACTCATACCTCTGTAATCATTTCCATTTTGACCCTGTCTTTAGTTTTCGCACTTGTGTCTTGAAGGATGATCATATGGGAGGATAGCAGATGCTTTAATGTACTTCATCCAGGAAGTTTCAACAGTGGTGAAAGATATTTGGATTATGAGACATTGGGTAGCGCTATGGACAAAACGCATTCTTGGCAACCAAGTATATCAGTCACAACGAATGGAATTATTGGGACTAAAATTTATGCATGTCCTGAACATTCAACCTGCAGAACTACTATGGGGTTGGATGTTTAAACTCAAAAGTCATCAGCTTTCATTGTTTCATCATACATTTTTTTGAATCATACAACTGAACATACAATGTGAATCATACACCATTTATCATAAACTGATCCTGAGGTATGAATTTTGTTATGGTTTGCTGCGGTCTATGGAATGGAAGGGCTGGACTTGGACAGTTGACTTGGTGTTGAGTGTTTACACACACTAAGATACATATTTTATTGAGGAACTAACTGGAAATAAAATAGTCTTATGTTACAATTGCATTGTATAAATTGAGAAATTTTTGTTTGAACTGATTCTAATTTATGATTCGAAATACCCAGTCCTGGTCATTCTGTTTTAATTGGATTCTATTTACTTAGGAATGAGGTGGTATATTTGTTCCTGAAATTCGGAAAAATTGAACCACTGCATAGTATTCATCTTCTTCTGTGAACTTGTAAGCAGGGACTCGTTGGAGTTGGCTTTGTTAACTGCATGGTCCTTCGGTCTGCACCGAAAAACATTGTTCTTATTTTTTGGTATTGGTTCTTGTTTTTTTTCCATGCTTCATTTTTGTTAACTGATATAATATATTTTTATAATGCTCAAGTTCATTGTACAATGAGTGATGAACTGTATAGTTTATTGTGCATACCTAAGTGTGATCTAGTTCTTCTTAAAGTGTGTGTAAATACTGATGAATCTCAGTAGCCTCTATGTACAATAATTAGTAATTTTTACTGTTTTTTTTAATTTCCTTGCTTCCTTTCCGAAAATAATCAAGGTATCCAATGATGCTTGTACATCATGCTCTCCATTGCCGAATCTGTGATAATAATATTTCCTGTCTCTATTTAAATTTTCGATACGTGTCTATGTCCAATAAACGTTTTGTGACTGCTGTTATTCTTTTTCTTGGAAATGTCCGACTTCAAACAGAATATGACCTCTCAAAATCCTGAATTACCCTTATTTACCTTCATACTATCTTCAAATTGCCTGCACATTTCATCATCTTATTATGTTAAAGTTATATTTAATCTTATTTGATTTAATCTATAGTAGCCTATACTATGCCATGATATGCTCATATACAGCAAAAATAAAAGGGTTGGGAGCCTAGATGCCCTTCATCGGTCCTGCATACAGGCCCACACAAAACAATAATTATTTACTGTTGAAATATTGATTATGATTTTAATAGTGTTGAATTTGTCTCTCTCTTCCTGTTTTATTCGGGTTGAGGAGGAATAAATCGATTTCTCTATTGACTCGTTATGCCGGCGAAATATGGTCAGGGTTTGGCTAATTGGTCTGGCGAAATAGGATCAGTGTGTGTGTAATTTGGGCTGGCGAAATGGTGTCAGAGATCGTATCTTTTTTAGAATTTTTTTAGGCCTCTAGACAAAAGCTGTAATGGTTAGAAAGAAACTGTTTCTGTACGGGGAAATAACTTTAAGTGCGATTTCAATGCACAGTCACTTGCTACAGATAAAAGGATACCTGACTCGTGTCTGCCTACCATAAGAATGTGTGAAATATACACACGTTCGCAAATCAACCGTGTTAAATTATGTCGTCAAGTACACTTGCAGGTAGCTACAAATAGTAATATTCACATCTTCGCTCCACTAAAGGCGCTGTTTCCTTGATTTCGATGGAATTACATTATGCTAACTAAAAGGTCGTGGGCACCGATGTGAATACTTCAAAGCGGCGATACAATCGGGATTTAGAGGGCGTTTCAAAGGAAAGACCCACGAAATATTGAAAATGGCGACTTGGGATGATGATAACGAGTCTACTGCTGCAGATGACCCGAATTATATTGCATGGTAGTGCGGTAGGTAATTCAGTCTAGTTCGCTTAATTACAATTTTTACTATAACAACCGCCTGAAATAAAAAGTGATTGGTTGATGGAATATTTTGGTTTTGATAGAGAGGTGTCATTGCTGACAAGCCATTCATCATTGAACCATAATTGGATCACAGTGTAATGGTGCTCAAATACATAACTAGACCCCTTTACTCACATGCCGTTAATGCATGACATAACTGACAATGCCATAGATAATTGTACAGACGCGCAGTTAGTCGCACGGTCAAGGCAATGGAGTAGAGGAGAATCTGAATACTCGCTCGGTGTCAGGGAAATTGCGATGCAACAGCTTCTGAAACAAATTACGCAACTTATTAACAGAGCTCACTTTTTCAGTAAAGATTTACTATCCCTGAAAACACCAATGCCGACAATGTCCGCTCCCTCTTTTATGCGCCGCTAAAAGTGGCAATCAATTCTCGCACCCCTTCTAAAATTGATGGGAAATGTTGTCGTTCTCACTTGTAAACAACAAAATCATTGTATGTTATTCAATATATTGTTTTTCTTATCACTGGTACTAACATATTTACTATGGATATTTCTCGCGAAACTGTATGATCATTCATATAAACTCTAATGTAAGTTTGTGATTATAGTCAACCGAAACGCTAAAAGATAACATTTTATAGATTAAATCCTACCCTATTTTACAATAACGGAGTTTAAAAAACGAAAATGTTGTTTCCAACTCGTCGCCGATTCACGTCGTTCATATCGACTTTGATTTATTGCCCGGCCACATGCGATCATCCCTAATTTGGATGAAATGTAAGATATAATAATTTTTAAAAATATTTTTCAATCAAAATGTCCCCGACGTCGGCGTTGCGAATGTGTGCACTTACCAAAGCAAATTCAATATTTTTAACTAAACCATATTTCGAGAGCCAGATATTCGGAAATACACGTTTTGGACATTTCTGCGTCCAGCATCGGCGGGTACTCTCTATAGAACTAATTCGGCAAATCGATTCGATATAATATATAAGAGAAATATTTCACTTTTTGTTTTAAAATTACACCAATGACTGAAGAGTATCAACTATTAAACTATAGAACTTTGTAACCAAGGAGCCAAATAACGGAGTATTAACGAAGTGGCAAACATCGTCATGGACAACGTCGTTTGCACGGCGGTTTATGCTCAAATAAACGCAACGTTTGTAATTAATTCAATTCAGAGCCTGAACCTAGAACACTCCGAAGATACTTGGATTTGCATTTCACTTTTTAAGTCATTATGTAACATTGCAGACCTGACCCTTAAATAAACTTAGGCAACGCCGCGGCCGGAGTTACGCGATAACAGCATGAAATCGTTTAACTTAGTTTTTATTGTCACTCATTACACTGTTGGTTTTATATATTTGAAACTCAAATTTAGCTTTCCAATTGTTCTCGTTCTTTCCCAATCTTATTTATTTCTCTCTATCGTAAACAGAGCCAACATTTGTTACCATTATTTATGTGCATGTCATTGCGTTTCTTGCCACAGTTGTAAAATGCTTTTCTGAAGAAGTCTGACCTTGGTCAGACGAAACGTTACAGAAATACATTTGTGTTAGTGTGCAGCAAGACTCTTGAATTGAATAGAATAGTCATTTTCATTCTTGCTATAGCATCCTTGCGTTATACGCATACGGATCCACCAGTACACAGGCATATAGAGTAAGGAAAGGTAGTTAGTTTCACGTTACCCCAACTGTTTGATTATAATTAACCAGGCATTTAGTACATCCTCTTGTAAACTAGAACGCCTTGAAAAATGCAAGAAATATTATTTGGAGAAGTATTTAATATTGCCGCAATGTATTTTACCTGTTTAATTTTTTTCTTCTCGACAATGTATCGATATCAAATTGTCGTTAAACATAATATTGAAATGAAATATCTACGTGATCAATCATGCTGACGCAGCAAGCAGCTCCGTGAAGTCAACTTATGCACTATTACGGTTGCCACTTCTGGATACATTTTTTTCGAATCGAATCTCGAATCAAAAATTTTGAATCGAATCTTTCCGAATCTGATTCCATTTAGTTTTTTTTATGCGTATGTTTGCTCAAAGTCATAAAAAAGCTCAAATCCAGAAGAGTAAAACTTGAAAAGGGAATACGCTATATAGCAAGGATGATAGGGGGGTTTTCCAGTGAATAAGCCACACTTATTTCCATCATGATAAAAGAAAATATAGGTCATAAAAACTTGCTGTGACTGTGGTGGTATTTCACTTCTTGTTATATTGAATTAGGGCCGGCCTTATTACCGATTTTTTATCTTCAAAATTTTAATACAATATTTTATATCTATGCTAGCAGCATAGAGTATTGCATCTGAATTACTATAAATGGGAAATGCTTGCAAGAATATGCTTGAAAGCGATAAAATTAACCACGATTAAATTAATTTCGAGAAAAACAATCGTTCAACCGACTACGATAGCAAACAAAAATTTTCATGAATATTGGAAACAATATTATTTGTGGGTAACACAGTGGTTCTTAAACTGGGTTCGATCGAACCCCTGGGGTTCGGTGGAGCTGTTCCAGGGGTGCGACGAAGGTGCTCTGAAACAGTTGCATATTATGAGACTTTTTTTATCACCCTGCATACTAATTATGCAAAAATAACTATAGTTCATGATGACTAATTACTAATGACTTGAACAATTGAATGAAACAATTAATTGGTGTTACCCCTATTCATATTCTACCGTACTAATAAAATTTAACTCAATTTACGGATAAATCGAAGATAGGCAGTAATTGTACATGAATGAATGCAAAATCATAGCGTGTTTGAATTTCACTAGGTGATAAAGTTGCGACAAGGAATAGTTTATCGCAGAGCTTTATCCGAAATTATTATGATCCATTCAGGACAACCTCGATATGGCGCCGAATTAATCCTATCTCTATTTCTGTAAAATAAAACAATTGGCAAACGATTTTATTCGCATTTCAGCGCAGTTTAAAGTTTGAGAACAAATTGCTTGAACTACCAACGTTTATGGGGTATATTATCATCTTTCGGATTTTCAAAGTTATTTTTTATCAGTTTTCGCCGGTTCACCCGCATAACTTATACAACAAAAACCATCTGCTCTTTCTGCCGCCAACGCCATTGTGACAAAACAATGGTTATTCCCACATGGTTATTGATATCTAAGGTTTCATCACAATGTTCCTATTCTATAACCTTGCAAGAATTAGCTTCCGCTTTATGACGTTACGGTTTGGCTTCTAATTTCAACCGTTCAGTACAATGGGGTTCGGCGGGAGCTTGCAGAATAGCGCAGGGGTTCGGCAGGCTCACAAAGTTTAAGAACCACTGGGGTAACAGCGTTATTGGCTAACTCGGTCTTCATTGCTATCGTGGACTACGTTTAATTTCGTAATTCAGAAAGTCAAAATGTGCATAATGGACGGCGCGCTGACGAGCGATAATTGCTCTACGTCAGTGGTCGGCAACCTTTTGTCGCTCGCGGGCCAAAATAATGGTTGCAAGTCATTGGCGGGCCGCACATATTTTTAGAAAGTTTAAAACCGAACGGATGATACTTTTTATAATAAAAATGAAACAGTGATACATCTCTCGAATAGAATATAGATTTATTTCCTCATTGCATTGAATTTTTGGACATTGAACCCTTTGCACTTAGCATCAACTTTTCTACGTTTTGTTGCCAATTGTCTGATTATAATTAAATTATAGGTTCATTAAACGAGTAATTGTGGATTTTATGCTTGTTAGATTATAATATAATGAATTGTGTAACGTGAAAAATATAATCGTAAAAACAACTGTTTTGTTACTATAATTCAGGGAAGCGTCGCGGGCCGGATTATGTTACTCCGCGGGCCGTATGTTGCCGACCCCTGGGGTACGCTGTACCTGGATTAAACATGGTCGCTGGGGCTAAAGTAAGACGACATTCGCACAGTATGTTTGATCTGGTATGAAATCTGGCACGTGTTGATGTAAAACAGTGCACAAGTCGCCATTCCTTAAGTATTATTTACTCCCACCCGTCCGTTATGACATTTGCTAGAAATAATTCGGAATGTTTTATTCCCGCTTGTATCGCGCTAACAAAATTAAAAGTAAATACTACTTTTTTTGTAACAGCTGAAAAAGACGTATATGTACTATTACATTATGTCCCCCTGGTTTCGTTTACCGCCAATCGAGTGGAAGCCTGACAAACGCAAACAAAATAAATATATTTTAGGATGTGAAACATGATTGTCGATTAACATGGCCGATCGATAAACTCATTCAGTAATAGTTCTCTTCAAATGTACGCGAAATATTTCACTCAGAACAAAGTTTATATTAAATTTCAATCATAATTAAATAATTTCCAGACGTCGGTAGCTGATTCTTTATCCAATCATGCCAAGGCGTACAATAACTTAGTAGCAGCGCAGGTGTGCTGTTAAAATTTTTTATCAAAATTGTCACGAATTTTCACGTATACGATCCAGTTAAATTCGTGCATAATGGCAATTTAGGCTCTTCAGTGGAAAACTGAACTCGTAGTTTGGTGGAAATTACGCCACACATCATTTCAAGTAATACGTAAAAGAGTGTGTTGTGCCGAACTTGAAATAAATGACGCAGATCAGTGAAAAAGTCAATCACAAAAAATAATTTTCATTTATTTCCGTCCCGTAATTTGGTGTTATTTGGAGTGCCACATAAACGCATTCGGCAGTTTTAACACTGCCGAAAACAACGATTAACAAACGTTCAATGTTTTTTTTCGGTCCCTAAACTTGGAGTGTCGCATAAACGCATTTGGCAGTTTTAACGCCGCCGAAAACAACGATTAACAAACGTTCAATTTTTTTTTTCGGTAAATCGCTTTCTTTTTCCGAATCGCGTACATCTGATTCGAATCGATCCTATTCGTAAATCCGAAAGTGGCATCCCTATGCACTTTAAAAAGTACGACGTTTATTAACAAAAATTATACTTTTGGTCAAATATGTAGGTGTCAAATTGGCGTTGAACATATTATTGCTGAGAATATCATGTTTATCAGTTTTGCTAACGAGGCTCACGACTGCGTGAAGTCGAACAAGTTATTAAAAGTATTTATAACATTTATTATAAATTCAATTCATTCATACCTATCTGGCTGCTTTCCTCGTTCTCCGACACGTGTTCGCCCTTATTATGCCAAAAACGTTCGGCATCAGACTTGTAGTTTAATGATTTATTTTTTTACATAATATATATATATATATATATATAAATATCGCGTTTCCTCGAAAATGAATCTTATTTTGATTGTCTTTCGGATAAAAACACTAGGACTTATTTTAGGGGGATGTCTTTTATTTTCATTCATCAAAAACAAAAACATAAAGTAGAGAATTGCAAGGTTCTCGAATATGCAAAATATGAAAACCGATATTTTCTTATAAATATCACGTTTTGTTTAAAAATTCAACTGAATTTTCTCACCTATACGGTTTCCTGTCGCGCTATCGACTAGGTCTTATTTTCGGGAAAACACGGTATTACTAATTAAATTGCATTACATTGAATGGTGTTCACTTCATTGGGGCGAATCGTGAGTTAATCTATACTTTTTTATACTTTTGTTACATGCAGTTAGATAAATATTACTTCAAAACCTAATTGAGGATTAATTAAACTGACTTGGCAAAAGCTGAAATGGAAAGTTTCACAAGAGATGTGACCGAGGCCGAACAACGCTGCTTCCTAATTTGCGACAAGGAAAACTGTTCCCCGAATAAAGTTCAAGGAAAAATGAGTAAGAATTTTAGGCACCGTCACTGCCTCCTCTGCCCAAAAACTTTCACAACTCCTACGAAATGTCGTCGGCATTTCCAAGATGTTCACCTGAAAAAATCCATGGTCATCGGAGAAATAACGTTTCTACGGTGCAGGTGTACCAATAAACCTAATTACTCAGAAAGATCGCATTACCACTGCAATCAATGTGCTTACAAAAGTCGTTTCGGAGGGAATTTGGTGAAACATTTGCAACAGCATAAACTTGAGAAGAAAACATCAGACCAAGACGAACCTTTGAACGAGGAAAAAAGCAAGTCCGTATCTGGCGGCAATGTCGATGACAGCGCAAACATCGTCTGCATCTCGACCGAAAAAGAGAAACCACCTTCAACTTATCGTAAAGTGAATGTAAAGAAAATATGCCATGAATGTGGAAAATTTTTCCATGAAAACAGTCTTAACAGACATACTAGGATGGTACACGGAAAAGAAATGCTACAAACCTGCACTTGTGTGGATGAAGCGAATGGGATATATCTTGTTAGAAAAAGTTTTCATGGTGGTGTTGGATTTCCTCTTCATGTAAAAAAAATCTTTGTGATGACAATGTTAAGATTATGTGCGAAAACAAGCAATGTATGGACTGTATGCGTGTCGCATGGCGCTGCGGCAGAAAAGCCACGTTATGTCCGCACCTTCGAACCATACATTTAGAGCACGGAATTGCTGCGCCAGTCGTGCTAAAGGATGAATTTCTATTAGATTTATCTCCATCTGGGGAACTTAAAGTAATGAAAGTAGAGGCGACTGTTGCTTGTAAAAATCTTCGACAACAAGCAGAAGAAAAAAACATTCCCCTGATTGCTGCTGTGAAAGAAAGCATGAAGTACTTGCACCTTTCCGTTTATGAACCTGGAACACATTATTATTCAATTTTAAACAGAGTTATTGTCACAATAAATATTGAAAATGGAACCGTCGACTGTAAATGCTGCAAACGAGGCCGTTCGTGTGTGCATAAACATTTGGCTAGATGGTATTTACATCAAGAAGGGCTACTTTCAAAGTTCAATACGACTTGCTGGGGAGAAGACGATTCACTCCCGATGAACGTTGCTGTACATCAATCATTATATCCTCCCGCGGATGAAAAGCTAATATCTAAAATGTGTAAGTACCTTATGGACAACAAAAGGGTACCGCTAGATCTGTGCACTAAAGATACTGCTATTCCAAACGAATTCCATCCGATTGAGGTTCGTTGTACACATTGCAATCTTGATTTAAATGAGTCCGAGCTTATATCCAACCGGGCCTCAGTACTAACTATGCGAGCTGTAATGCAAAAGGCTAAATCGTATTGTCGGCGATGTCCTAGTTGTGAAATGTGCTATAGATACCAGGAACACACCGACGGTGTTCATAACTTCAATGACATTTTCTTCTTGGGACATGACGTCGCGTTATTTCTGAGAAGAAGCCTACAGGAACATGTGCCTATAGGAAGCATTGTAAAGATTTTGGAATCTCATCTTGGCCAACCTTTGCACTCACAGACAGTGATAAACGCCTATTTGCATTTCGAGTGCCTGAGCGAACATAAATATAACTTCAACTGTATTTTATGTGGATACCACCCCCACATACTCATCATGGACATTAATCGCAAAATTGCATTTCACTGCCCCATGTCAACCTATTCCCTACCAGACGAATAAAATGAAGCAGAAAGCGACCTTGTGAATTGTAATGAGTTTTGGAGAAATGTTGAGATGCATATTCTAATATTGGGATATCCAGGCCAAGTAAAAACCAAGTTTTTATCCGAGGTTCCCAACATGCTGTTTTGGGCGCCATACATTGGTTGCCATACGAGAAAGTCGGATCTAGTGTACAACACTGAACACAGGAAAGCATCAAGAACAAATCCCAATAATTTAGAAAAAGATTGTCGTACTATGTCTGAAGAAAGAATGATGGAACTTCTCACACAATCAAAACCAAAAGAAGTGAATGACTTGGCAAAACAATTAGGCATAAAAACGCACGGATCTAAAATTGACACCATTTTAGCAATTATGAAAAACTTGGAAAAGGACGATTAAAAGTTCACCAAAGCATTCAAGAAGCTCTGGGGATGTTCTGGGGGTTGGGCTTCCGCAGTGTGCCCGCATGGTGTAGTATATGCCATGAAGTTTGTTTTAAGAGCAGAAAGCCCGCGGGATTTTGTGGATATCTTACTGTCTATGAAGCACCAACCCAACATTACTATCATCGACATGGCGAATATGATTGTAGCTCACGGCAATAACAGAAAAGATGGAATGTTTCACCCCTACAATGGTATGGTTGTAGCACCGACAGAAGAGAATATAAGCCTCGCTGAGAATGGTTCGCTACAGGTGTCATTGCCTTGGATCATCGTGGACAGATCTGGAATAAAAGAAGATTCATCGGACTCTCATCCGGCTACTGGCAGCTCTATTCGTATGTGTCTATACGACACCTTCCATCAAACTAATGTAACGAAGAGGCACGAAATACTACGTCGGGTGAGAAACATCAAAGAGTTACATGGTACAATTAACACACAGGTGGTCGAACAACTGTTTTCAGCTAAAAAATACGATTCCCGTTTTCTCAATCAAATGAAGGCCAACAAGCATATTTTCGTATTCCGTTCCATGATTGATAGACACAATGAAGCAATTAATGCTTCGACGATGAATCAACTAACAAGTGAATATACAGACCAGGTACATTTTGACGAATTGGGGAGGGTGTCCATTGGTAAGAAGGTCGATCAAAAGCATTCCAAAACGCATGTTTCAAAGGTGGTTGATACGATGAAAACTAAACGGACTGAGGCGGAATATGAAAGAAGGTGGATGAACGTGTTATCTTTGACGGACAATGATGTTCGTATTATTAAAAGTGGAGCGTGGTTGAACGATCGACTAATAAATGCTGCGATGGTTCTGCTCAGACATCCTAACATCAATGGCCTTGGTGATGTCATTACTGGGCCAACCTACGGATTCCGTAGAAACAGTGACGTTCGTGATTTTATTCAAATATTACATGTTGGAGAAAATCACTGGATTTGTATTTCCAATGTTTTTTCGCCGGAAAAAGAATTTGTTATATACGACAGCTATCAGGAGTTGAGTATCATAAGATCGGAAGGTCATCGAAAACAGGGAGATCAAAAAAGAATAAGATATCCATTAATCGTAGATCAGGCAGCTTGCGGCTTGATCAAACCGAAGGAAAACCGTCTAGCTGTTAAAGTAGCCGACGTGACCCAGCAAAATAGAGGAGATGATTGTGGACTTTTTGCTGTGGCGTTTGCCACTATTTTAAGTCGCGGAGTCAATCCCGTTTTTCGACAAATAAATCAAGAAACTTTGCGTCATGACCTAGAAGAATCTTACCGGAATCTCTCAATGGAACATATGTTTTGTCACTGCACTGTAAGAAAGGGGACTGAAATTCCAACTTTCGCCTGGTTCTGTGACGTTTACTGTAGCTGTCGTATGCCTGACGATGGAACCAAAATGCATAGTTGCGCAGCATGCGGAACGTCTCTCCGAGCCCCCCACAGAAGAACATGAAGATACGTGGACATGCGACGACTGTGAATCCACTGGGAAACACTTCGAAGCCCTACGTAACATTTTCAGGAAGGCATCTATGGATGAACGAATAAATACGGAAAAGTTGATCGCGATATACAACTCCCTTCGTGATGTACTTCAGGATTATCCTTTTCCTAATGGCGAAGGAAACGTCATGTGCGTGCCGGATGCTGCATATGAACAGGTATACGCTAAAAAAAGACAGGTCAGTGCTGTTACTCTGTCACCCGCTTCAATTATTCGTAAGCAATTTATAATTGTATTTATGAAATCGGCGATGACAAACCCTGGAAAGGTATTGGAAGTTATGATTCGTGAAATGGTGCATGCATCTGGCGTTCTATTGCAAGAAGGAGGAACCGATCACGGATCAAAACTTCAGAAAAGATCACGCCGTATTGTGAAAACAGTCATCGCTCAAAAGAACAATCTTATCCAGGAACTTCAAACCCTACATGTAAATTTCAATGAAATTCGAAAAGCAAAAAACTGAGGCACAGTTCGGAGGCTAAGGAATACATCTGCATATTTGATATCTTGTAGTACATTGTTGCCACAAATACGTTGAGACTTGCCGCTGAAAGGCCGTTCACAGATTTCACACACAAATTTCTTTGTATGTCGATTCATGTGTGTTTTCAAAGTACCTTTGCCACAAAATCCTTTTCCACATTCATCACATTTGTATGGTCTTTCTCCTGTATGTTGTCTCATGTGAATAGTTTTCATGTGAACATTGCTAAGTATTTTCCCGCAAATTCCGGATTTCTGTAGATTTCGTGGAGCATCGGGAAAGTGAAATCGCAAATGGCTTTTCAAGTGACTATTCTGAGTGATTGTCTTAGCACAAATTTCACACTTATGTGGTCGTTCTCTAGTGTGTATCGTTTGATGGTTTTTAAGATGACTAACATATCGAAAACTTTTACCACAGATGCCGCATTCGTGCAACTTACTTTGTTTAACCTTTTCCATTGTATTTAATGGTACTATATCTAAAATTATTTCATCAGCGCACTGAGTGAAATGAGCCTGGCCAATTTATATATATTCTACAGTATATCTACAGTATCTATGGTTAGAGATAAGTTAACAATGATAAAAACACAGTCTATTGCAAAGCAAATTTCATTGCTTGAGATAAGACGCTTGAGCAAACTTTCATATCGTGAACGTGGAGGCGCTAAGTCTATCTTCCATGGCGCTAGACTGTTTGTGACCTGCATGTGTACTTTCAATAAAGTTCTAAGTTTATCTTTTATGGCGCTTGACTCTTTGGGAATGCGAGGGCTCTTCCAATAAGTCATCTTAATTCCACACTTTTTAACTGGAAAGCATGTAGAATTGCAACCATGATTTGTCATAAAAAAACCACTGGTTGAAATGTCAAGTGAAAAAATTGCAATTTCTGTTTCATGACTTATGCAACTTTAGTAGGATATACATATTTATCCCGCGGAGAGGGAATCCGATAAGACGGCTTAATCATATGGCGAACCACGGCCTTATTTCCGGTTACCATTCCATGTCGGGCTAGGATTAGTTAGTTATTTGTTTTCGAAAGCCTGGGCGTAAACCACCCTACGGCGGCGAGGAGTCCAGCAATCCTCTCGTTTGTTTTATTTGATTCGGAAATAACACTTTTTTAGATATTGTTCTACAACAGTACTTCTAATATGCTGAAGCATACGAATAGCCGTCATCCTTTTGTAAAATTGCAAGGAGATGACATCCAAAGTTGCAGTGAAACAACAGTTCTAATTCTAATGCCATCAGCAGTAGTAGCCAAAATCTTGGTTTCCCAGAAACTGAGACACCAAGAATGAAACAGACAATATTGCCTTATTGTAACTTACAACATGTTACACCTATGGAGACCAAAAGAATTGATGATGGCATTGTCAACATGATTGTCGGTGATTTACGTCCCATCAACATTGTTTCAGGCAGATATTTGCAAAACTTGGTAGCTATGCTAGCTTCGCCAGGATACACGATTCCACCCAGGCAAACAATACCAGCCAAAATAGAAGATGTACTTCTCAATGCCGCATATGTTGCCCTCACAACAGTTGGACTAGCATAAAAGATGAATCGTATTTGTGTGTCACCGCACATATTCTTTCCCAAGATTTCACTATAAATTCATTGCTACTTTCAACAAAGCTACTTGATGACAAACCAACTGGAGAAAATATAGCAGGCTGGATACATGAGATTGTTTCAGATTTTGGTGTTCCTTTCTCAAAAATTGTCTCCATAACAATAGATAATGGTTCAAATATGATTGCAGCTGTTAACATATTGAAAAGAGAGCATAATTTAAATGAAATTCGATATGCCGTTCACACCCTGCAGTTGTGCCTTCAGGGGGTATTTGCTCTGAGGGACATTGTAGATATGTTGGAAACTGCCAAAAAAAAAAATTTTTTAGACGATCTGCATCAAACATGCTGTGCCTTAGAAAAAAGTATGAGGAGATAACAGGGAAGCCATTATTGCTGGACCAAATAATCGACGTGTTCATCAGGTGGAACTCCAAATATGAAATGCTCTTGAAACTTAATGAACTTAAATGGCACATCCGTGCAGTGGTTTCTGAACTCGGAGAAGGTAACCTAAGAGAATTACTGCATCTCGAAATGAAGGAACATTACCGGGAAATTTGCAAGATTTATTGCCAATTCTACAGCCCTTTAAGGTAGCTACAACTGTTTTGGAAGGCAACAACTATATAACTTTGTCTTCCCTAAAGCCAGTTCTAAAAGGGTTGGTGAAAAAGATAAGTGTTGGTAACCCTAATAAAAATAAAGTATTGTTGCGCTTCGGAATACAGTTTTCGGCATGTTGAATTCATACTTTGAAATATGTCTAAAAGCTGACGGATGTACATTGTTTGATATTGCATATGTCTTGGATGCGAAGTATATAACAAAATTCATGAAGCAAGATGCATCAAGAAAGGTGAAAAACTTGTTGCAATTCGAAGTGGGAAATATTTACATCTCAGAAATGGAACAGCCCACAGTCCAGCAGAGCGGAATGGCTATCATGTATTGAAAATCGAATCAACGACGGTATGGACAGTTCTGAATTCTCAACCTTTTTCCGTAAAGTACCCATGGTAATCAGACACCGAACAAAGTTGTGATATACCTATATATTGACTAATAATTTGTTGCAACACCAATTTATTGACCATATGTAACCAAATTAAAACGTCTTGTAGATATTATTGCCCCTGTCGTCTGAGAGATGGAGGTTTCAGCTGAGATTTCGAAATATTTAAATGACAGATATCTTAGCATATCAGCGACCCAAGAAGAAATGCTTCAATGGTGGCAAAGAAATAAACAAGTTTATCCAAGCATCGCAGTTGTCGTACAGAAGTACCTCTGCATCCGAGCAACATCCGCTGCATCCGAAAGAGTGTTTAGCTCAGCGGGTCTTACCTTCTCCAAATTGAGATCGAGACTCGAGGAAGACATGTGAATTAATTGAACTTTTTACAATGTAATAGATTTTTACTATGTAGTCATTTTTTTGTTTTTGTTATTCATGTTGTTGTTAGAATTCGTTTTATAAAGAATTATATTTTCTCATCAGCCATTACCTAGTGGACCAATTGCTTTGATGTTTTTAGTGGTTAAAATTGTATTTTTTGCTAGAAAGCTATTTATTACGTTTATTTTTTTGAAAAGTTCCTGTTGGCTGTAAGCGATTCGTTTTTGCCCGATTTTGTTATTATGTTGTTGTTAGAATTTTTGTTATAGAAAAATATATTTTCTCATCAGTCATTACTTGCTGGACCAATTGCTTTGATGTTTTTGGTGGTTTAAACTAAAGGGGTCACCAAACTTTTTTGACCGCGGGCCGGGTATGACTCAAACTGTGTTGAAACGGGCCGGACATATATTTTTGTCAATGCATTTCTGAAGACTTGAATATTAAATTCTATCTCTATCGCAGAATATATAGGTATATTTTGATTTTCCCGCAAAAAAATTATACACAAAACATAAACAATAAACACACAGAAGATTGGAAAAATCGGGGAAACTGGCAAAATCTTTATAAAGGTTTAATAGATCGAGAACATCCTAGAAAAACAAATATACAAGATTTCTATATCTATTCAACTATCCTGAGTTTAGCTGTTAGCAAAACGTTGCTGTCATGAATTAGGAATGTTAAAAAATCCACTTTTTTGCGCCAAAAAATATGTACGCATCACGTCTGCATGTACCGTTACGCCGCGTTGGAATACCGCTCATATAAACGAATACGGACTGCCTGCGGTACCTTGGAATTTCATAAAACTTTGACATAATTTAGATAAAATAAACAACTATTATCTGGTATTTGATTTTTTTCATTAGCACATGAATTTCAAGTTATACGTAGTGCAAATTTTGATATTGTCTATGGACACCAATAAAATTTATGTGAACGTGTGTATGTATTTCCTTCCTAACTTGATACTTACCAATTTTTATGAAGTTTTTTCTATTAGAACATCTTTAATTATTACCCACAATGAACCAATGTCAAACTAACCTGCACAACTCCAGCGTTTATTTGCGACTAACTTTCGGCGGCGTCAATGACCGTTGCCAGAATGAAATCCTGATAGATGTGACGCAGATCGAAAGATTAGAGATTGATATGTGTTCTTTTTTCATATTTATTACAGTTATTATCCAAAAAGTAATACGATTCTTATGGAAAAAAAATGGCATGTCGGGCAGTACTAAAATTCTGATATCTTCGTTATTTCTTGACCATTTTTTATAAACTTGGTATTGTCTTCTTATTTTCACTCAGATCTATCCACTGGCGCAGTTTTTATTTAAATCGGATAAACTTTAATTTGTTTGTAACATACCCACATGAATATCCGCATTTAGAGGAGTACAAAAGTTAGTGTGACTTGTGAAATTGCAGCAGTACGCGAGGGATCACAGTACTGTTAGCGC